CTCATAAAACAGAGGAAAGGGTCCTGAAAGATATTGTTAATAGAAACGTTATCCCTACAGACAAAAATCAGAGGATACAACTGACGATTTACTATAAAACCAGAAAAAACGGCCAGCCTACTCATGAGAAACTCTCCAGACACGAAACAGAACGCTTTAAAAGAGACTAACGTCGTCTATGCCTTCAAATGCCCACTTGGGGACTGTAAGCTCCAAAAAACCCAGTATATAGGCAAGACAACAACATCTCTTTCTAGGCGTTTAACGATGCATAAACAACAGGGCTCCATTAAGGAACATATAATCTCTTCCCATAACCAAACCATCGCCAGAGAAATCCTAGTAAACAACACAGAAATCATCGATAGATACAGCGATAGCAGGCGGCTTGACGTTTGCGAGGCACTACACATCAAGAAGTCAACACCAGCAATCAACAGCCAATTATTGCACAACTATATTCTACCCACCTCAAGACTCCGCTCCAATATAGAAGCATCAAGAAATATGGACCAATAGGCTTTCTACAAACACTTCTATTCAATACCCATTGTTTCTGTTCTGTCTTGTGTTGATACTTTTAATACCCTATTAATATCCTCTAGTGTTCTGTCTTGTGTTAATGCCACATCATCCTTCCCACCTCACTCAAATGTAATGCCACATCACCCTTCCCACCTCACTCAAATGTAGATATAAAATCAGGGAAACGCAAGTTCTAATCAGTTGTGTATTTGTGAAGTCTTTGAAAATGTAATAAGTTTTACGAAACGCGCCCGTGTCGCGTCAGACTAAAAATAATATATATGTATATATATATATATATATATATATATATATATATATATATATATATATATATATATATATATATATATATATATATATATATATATATATATATATATATATATATATATATATATATATATATTTCATGGGTACCACCTCTGGTGCAATTGTAGGGACCCATAGCCTCGGAGAAGAAAATAAAGAGTACTCAGAGAAGACCTTGTGGATCTTCACTGAACACTGATATTTTCTTCTCCTACCACCCCTATTCTTTTTGTATGTGTATATATATATATATATCTATCTCACTTTATTTTTAAATTTCATTACACAAAAAAGGGTTACAACATTGATTACATGCAGGGTACAAGGCTACTTGTCACAGGTTGTAGAGCTTCTCCAGCTCCTCAGATGGCGGGCAGGAACCATGGATGCAGTGAGCATTTCCTCTCTGGATCGCCACACAAAAGCGCTGAAAGAGAAAACTGGTGGCTCTAGGGTCTCTAGTTGTTTCAGTTAGCTTGGACCCCAGCTCCTTCAAAAAACTAGCAGCACTTTTACCCCAGGCACCAAGTGTCTCTGAGGCAATGGGGACAAAATTGTAGTGGTGACCAAGGTTTCTGTATTTATGACTTCCCGGTGATTGGCAGCACCTCCTGCCTGTGCAGCACTGAAGTCAACATAGGTGTTGGCTAAAGTTGAAACGCAAGTGTAGTCCCACACCAACTGTCTTACCATTCTTCCAGGGGTTCACCGTGATCCCGTCTGGGCGACCGACAGGCTCATCAGAATAGCGGGGCATTAGGTAACGGGGCTCTCTCTGCTGGACAACCGGCCGTGGTATGGCTGCTCTTAATAATGCCATTAACCTCGCCGTGACTTGCATGCCATCCTCCTGTCCTTTGGCAGAGAAGGCCATGCCGTCCGTACCTGTCGGCCACTGCCTCGCCGCAAATACACCTATATTCATTGTGGATTGGGGCGGAGAGCCACAGCAATTCGGAGGGCCTGCGGTGTGAGACGAGTGCCGGTTGCTGACATTGGGGTTGCTAATAAGAAGTCACCTGCATGGGGAGCTGCTACAGCTTTAAGTCGGGCAGTGTCATGGGGTGTTGTCGCAGCTTCTAGACATATCGCAGCTTCTTGGTCGACAATGGGGATTGCTTATGGGCTTCAGAAGAAAGTGGGTGGGGTGCTAGTCCTGCGAGAGAGAACCATTTGGTGGTGCAGTCTGTAACGCTGGGATCATGTCCCCCTGCCTGTTGACCTATACATATATTGGTCGGGTAAACAATTTCTGTAACCCCACTCAAATGAATAATTATTATTATTATTAAATTACCTGCTGAAACGTGATACGCTATTGGGTCTGAGCCTAAACATTTTTTTTTTTTTACTTCTGAAAAGAACTATACTTTTCTGATTACACGAAACAATTTATTTCCCTGTTTAAAATTAGTACTTCCTTGGAAGTCAGAGATTTTTCCAACCGAACACAACGATGAGCCCCTTCGATCTTCAAGCTACAGTATATATGTTGTTTTGAGAATGGAAGGGGCGAGAGATAGATAGGTCTGGTTGAGAGAGACGGGACATAGGGGGGGGGTTAGAAAAAGGGCGAAATTCAGAGGGGTGGGAATGAGAGTTTATTATTTTTGTATAAAGCATAAGCTTTATTTAATGTTAAGTAACAATACTATTAGATACAGGGGGACACAGGCACGCCATTAATTCCAGCTCCCCCTCTACCTAATATGATTGTAACCTAACATTAAATAAAGCTTACGTCTAACAAAAACTAATAATAAACTCATTAGTATAAATAGATCAGTTTTTTGGGTCAGGATTCTGATTAGCTCAGGTAAGACAATAGCGTCTTTGCTTGCGGTATTCAATACAGAGTAAAACCAATATCCAGCGGGTTCCACATGGTTAGGCTTTCCCAGGCTGGCGATGTAACATAATAATACTGACTTGCAGAAATAAGTAATTATAAAACGAGTCAAAAGCGCATTGAAATCGTGTTTTTGAAAAGGTATGGACGATGCCTAACACGACTCAGTCACACGGAACATACATTAAGTAGATGTTTGTCAAAATAATATTTAACAGTATCGGATACATAAACTGGACTATACAAACTACTGTATTTTAATTCACATTTTTTACACTTTATTATCTTTTACTGTAGGCTGATTTATTATCTTTTACTGTAAGTGGCAGATTTGGCCACTTACTGGCCAAATCTGTTAACTACCTCTACAATATACAGGAGTCAAAGCTGGAAAGAAGGTCTTGAAATTTTCAGCTTATAATGTTCGTCAGCTTCCTCTTCTAGCAACTTTGACTCGTCTGTGTTTACATGCGCATTCTCCGAGAACTGCCAAACTTCGTCCTCAGAAGTTTCATCCAGTGACATTTAGGTATCTTGGAAGCCACGTAAAGGAGCTGGTGTGTGTGTGTGTGCGTGTCTGTGTGTGTGTGTGTGTGTGTGTGTGTGTGTGTGTGTGTGTGTGTGTGTGTGTGTGTGTGTGTGTGTGTGTGTGTGTGTGTGTGTGTGCGGGTGTCGACATCCTCCCATCTGCTGGTTCCTTCACAGTTAGGGCTTCCTTCCAGTAGGCGCTTCCCTCCCTCCAGCTCATCCTCCTAAAATGAAAGTACTTATACTAACTGTTTGATGGAAAGTGCCAAAATGTACTGATGGACCACAAGAACGTTGACCTTTGTATTATTGAATTTGGACAAACTGGAAACATTTTTAACCGCTATAAAAATATAAGAGCTAACCTCTCCGATCAATCCTAGACCTAATGCACGTAATCGTAAGCCTAATTAAGTACATATATGAGCTATACTAGGTCTAGGAGTATTTAAGTTTGGTTTTAGCTTTAGTTTTTGGGGGACTATAAATTTAATAGTACAAAAAGTGGTTTACTGGTAATTCATTACTACATATTGGTACTTTTTATCAAACAGTTACTTGTGGATGGGTCCCTCCCTCCCTCCCTAACCAGCTGACAATTCCATTAACCCTTCCTAACAGCTGCCGATCTACCTCCCTGTAGGTGCATGGCGAGTCCATGCACCTACGCATCTCCTAAGAACCGTGTACATAAGAACCTCCCTTCAAGTTAGTTCTTACCTCCCAGTTGGTACATCTCCCTTACAGCTGGTGCTTCTCTCTGCTGGTGCTTGACTCCCTCCCAGCTGGTCCTTAATTGCATCCTAACCAGGTGGTGTTAAATTACCTTCCTCCCAGCTAGTGTATCCTTCTTTTAATTTGTGTTTTTCTCCCAAATGACGTCTTTCTCCATCCCAACTTGTACCTCTTTAATTCCCAGCTGGTCCTTGGCTTCTTCACATATAGTACGTTCATCCCACTCAGCTGGTGCTTCCTTACCTCCCAGTGGTACTCCCATCCTTGCCAGCTGGTGCTTGACTTCCTCCCGCTGAAGCTCCCATCCCTCCCAGTTGGTGCTTCCCTCCCTACCCAGCTGGTGTATGCCTTACTTATAGCTGATCTCCCCCTCCATCCCTGTCCAACCACTTGGGGTGGACGGTAGAGCGACGGTCTCACTTCCTGCAGGTCGGCGTTCAATCCCCGACCGTCCAAGTGGTTGGGCACCATTCCTATCCCCCGTCCCATCCCAAATCCATATCTTGATCCCTTCTAATTGCTACATAGTCGTAATGGCTTGGATCTTTCTCCTGATACATCCTTCCCCACCCCTCCATCCCAGCTGGTGCTCCTATCCCTCCCAGTTGGTATTGGCCTTGCTGCCAGCTGGTTCATGCCTCTATTTTAACTGGTGTCCCCCCCTACCTCCCAGCTGGGGGATGTCTCCCTCCAAATTGGTAACCCCCCCAACCCCCTCCGTCATCCCCAGCTGGTGCACCCCCCCCCCTTCCCTCCCACCAACTCTAATTTAGTCCTCAAGCAAGTGCGAAACTTTTTTTTTGTACATTTGTCTAGTTTAAAAAAGGAAAAAAACCCAACTCGGCGCGCCAAAGGCATAAAATAAGCATGTGTGGAGGGAGTTGTGGTGCGCGCGGGTGGCCGGGGAGGCCGCATGCAGGCACAGCAAGCACAGGAAGGCAAGGAGGACAACAGTTAATAATTGAAGATCGCGGCGGCGGCGGCCTCGTGCGTAAGTTCCTTGTGTTGGAAGAAAGAAAACACACACAAACACGGCGGGGGAGGCACTTACCTTTCGTTTGAGCATTATCCGCCTCCCGCCCGCAGACGTTGGCTAGGATCGTACATAGCAACACCACTCGCAGGTGGTCGAATCCAATAAACATGATTCGAGCATCTAAAAAAACTCTGCGAAGTGGAGCGAATCACTGTAAATCACAGGCGGCGGCACAACACTCCTCTCATGGCCACAGTCCAACAGTCACTGTCATCTGCAGAAGTGCTCCAGGAGGAGTGACCCTCAGTTGCCAAGTGTCTTCCAACACGCTCTCATTTATTCCACATTCATCCGTATCTATCGGGACTCAAAATCTGCACTAGTTAGATGTCTCTTTTGTGACGCCTGGTTGTACTTCATCTCTCAGATTGCCGAGTGGCAATCAAGAAAAACTTAGTAAAATTTAAATTGAATGTTTCTGAATCAAGCGCGCTACACCAGCTGATCAACTTCTCGTCACAGTGGTGCCAAATCTCCCCCCGCGATCTGACACAGAAAACGTGTGTATGGGAGACTACTCTAGAATCTCCACCCTCACTATACTTTACCTGAATTTACCTAAGGGGTCACCATCTCTCTAATGGCCTCGACGAGGACAAGAATCCAGCGGCTTATCCATTAATTTGTAAATATAAACCACGTGTCTACCAGTCTCCGTGGTGTAGTGGTAAGACACTCGCCTGGCGTTCCGCGAGCGCTATGTCATGGGTTCGTATCCTGGCCGGGGAGGATTTACTGGGCGCAATTCCTTAACTGTAGCCTCTGTTTAACGCAACAGTAAAATGTGTACTTGGATGAAAAAACGATTCTTCGCGGCAGGGGATCGTATTCCAGGGACCATAGGATTAAGGACTTGCCCGAAACGCTACGCGTACTAGTGGCTGTACAAGAATGTAACAACTCTTGTATATATCTCAAACAAACAAACAAACAAACAAACGTGAAACTTTCACAGTATGAATAACAGTTGTTTTAGTTTAGTTTGTTTATTATGCACTTGATACTCATCTTGTAGTAGACAAGGATACAAAAGAAATTTATTTTATTGTAATTACTTGTGTAACTTAATAAGTAACTTTCGCTTACTTACGAAGACTGTCAGTAACAGTCACCATAAGCTAGTTATATAGTTTAAAGTATATGAATTTTATGTACGAAAGTTGCCGTAGTATTCATTCTCCGGCTCACAGCCAAACCAAGATTTCGGGTTCGATTCCCGCGGTAAAACAGAATTGGCCACGTTTCCTTTCACCTGATGCCGCAGTTCACCTAGTAATAAATAGGTACCATGGAGCTAGGCAACTGTTGTGGGTTGCATCCTGGGGAAGGTTAATATAGCTGGCCTAGGGGGACCTGTTATATACTGTGTATATATATATATATATATATATATATATATATATATATATATATATATATATATATATATATATATATATATATATATATATATATATATATATATATATATTAGTATTTTAGTAGCAGTCTTTCTTGTAAACATATATTGTTGAATATGACCGAAAGGATTAGATTAATAATTCTAACACGAATCTTCTCAATTTTTCTTATGTTTTCTTCACTGTCGAGGGTAATTGAAAAATTAACTCTCCAAAGTTCATTTTCACACTTTATTTATGGTCTGATGCCTAGAAGCGTTTCGGAAGACACTTCTTACATTTCCAAAGACAATTTTACATACTCTCTTAAATGCTTATATTCGTTTTGGGGGTGAGGTGATACAGGACACAAATCAATGGGTACATTGCGTGCTTTATCTTCTTACTCCTGTGTTAGTTCGGGGTCTTGAAGTGGGTAGAATGTAATTATGTGTTAATTGGATGTTGATTGCTGGTTTTGACTTTTTGATGTGTAGGGCCTCGCTGATGTCGAGTCGCCTGTTATCGTTGTATCTGTTGATAATTTCTGTGTTGCTTGTTAAGATTTCTCTGGTGATGGTCTGGTTGTGTGTGTGTAGATTATATGCTCCTTGATGGAGCCCTGTTGTTTGTGCATTATTAATCACCTAGAAAGAGACGTTGTTGTCTTGCCTATATACTGAGATCTTTGGGACTAATAGTCCCGAAGTGGGCATGTGAAGGCATAGACGACGTTGGTTTCTTTCAAGGCGTTCTGTTTGGTGTCCGGAGAGTTCTTCATGAGTAGATTGGCCGTTTTCTTGTTTTTGTAGTAAATCGTTAATTGTATCTTATGATTTGTGTCTGTGGGGATAACATTCCTATTAATAATATCTTTCAGGACACTTTTCTCCGTTTTATGAGCCGTCAAAAAGAAGTTCCTGTAAAACAGTTTAATAGGAGGTACAAGTGTTGTGTTAGTTGATTCTTCAGAGGTTGCAAGGCATTTCCCCTTTCTTGTAATGACGTCTTCAACATAACCATTAAAGGAGCCATTGTTGACTAGGACCTGCCTTATCCTACAGAGTTCTTTATCGACTTGCTTCCAACCAGAACTGTGAGTGTGAGCTCGGTCGACGTAAGTGACCGAGCTTACGCTTACGTCGACCGAGCTAATAAAAAGGACATAATAAACACAAGTCATAATAAAAAGGAAGTTGGCGAGGTATGCAACAAGCAACGAAACAACTAATACCACAATACCCGTACTTCCAGTAAAATTATTCTACAGAAACTTCTTCTCTGCGTTCTACAAAGCAGAGGAAAGCGCCCTAAATGAGATCATTGAGAGGAACGTTACCCCAACTGACGTCAACCGAAAGATAAAACTAACAATATATTATAAGAGCAGGAAAACTGCCAACCTGCTAATGAAGAATTTTCCCGACACCAAGAAGAATGCCTTGTAAGAGACCAACGTTGTCTACGCCTTTACATGCCCACTTGGGGATTGTCAGCCCCAACGAACTCAGTATATAGGCAAGACAACAACCTCTCTCTCTAGGTGTTTAACAATGCATGAACAACAGGGCTCCATCACGGAACATATAATCCCCACACACAACGAGACGATCACCAGGGATATTTTGACAAATAACACCGAAATAATTGATAGAAATAATTGAAAATATATTATCAGTGTCAGAAGTTGTAGGAATTGAAGTTTGGTTCCGAATTTCTGATGATATAAAACTTATCGTCATATATATATATATACAACTTATACATCATATATATATACAGTTGGGTTCGTTCTCGACGCACAATCGAGAATTCCGGGTTCAAATCCCGGGCGAGACAGAAATGGTTGGGTACATTTCTTATCACCTAATGCACCTGTTCACCTAGCAGCAAGTAGGTGCCCAGGAGTTAGTCAGCTTGTTGTGGGGTTGCATCCTAGGCCGGGTCAGTAATTCAACCTTAGTTGAAATTATCGAAGGGGGGCGTCGATAAAAGCCTAACGTGCATGAATACACTCTGGCCTCCTGTCTGTCCTCCGACTCTCTAAATTATAATTATAATATTATGGTCTATAATTAAGTTCTTAAGAGCGATCCTGTGTCATAGATAACATACGTATATCTTTACTTGTGTTTTGTGTATTAAAGTGCCTACAATTTTATAATTTAATTTCTGTCTGTATATGATGATGATAAAGTGCCATTAAGGTATCATTGCAACTTTATAGGAAATCGATGATGTTACATTCTGTAAGTACGCGTAGCGCGGGCAAGTCCTTAATCCTACGGTCTCTGGAATACGATCAGAATGCAAGTACACTTTATAGGCTACAGTTAAGGAATTCGTTACGAACCCAATCCTACGCCAAGTGTCTTACCATATCTTGGTTCTTAAGCATAAGATCTTGGTTCTTATGCTTGAAATACCGTTACCCGGCCGGCCATAAACTCTATTAGATGTTTAATAACGTTAGAACTTCGATTTTTCCCTCCGAAACCACTCTCTGTATTTTATATAATCAAAAGCATATGTTTAAGACTAAGACTTCATTCAGGAAAAGATAGCCATTGGGCGAGCGTTAAGTGGGGGAGAGGAAATATATTTCTGCCCGAAACGCTGCGCGTACTAGTGGCTTTACAAGATTGTAAATACCATGCTATGTTTCCTCGCAAACCCAATGTACCTTCTTGCATATAAATAAATAAATAAATAAATAAATAAATATATTAAGAGGAGAGAAAGTGCCATGATGGCTTGACCCAGCTGCGTGTGACACGCAGTTTCATTTGGCACCCAAATGCCAAATTTGTAAATGTTTCATTTGTAAAGTTTTCCAATAAACATTGGGGGCAGAAATGTTAGTACTGTCATGGAGGCTTCCGCTGGTATTGAAATCATCCTATCAATTGTTAAGTACCCATGTAAGTGTTCTATTTTTAATTTTTTGAAGTTTACGTTTGTTAGTGGGTGCGGCTAAGGAACGAGCAAGTGAATCACATGTTAGATTAGGTGTGATAAGTGCTTTTAGAGGTGCAGTTTTGTGTCAGCTTTGGCAGATCTAAGTCTGTATAATTTACTTATAATTTACGAAGAATGCCAGAAGACAGGTTGAGAGGAGCCGAGAGGGAAGTGTCAGAAGTTGTAGGAATTGAAGTAAGATTGGCAGAAGAGGGGACGGTGTGGAGAAAGGAAGAAGTTGGGAGTGATTGAAACTTAGGAAAGCTGGTTTGGGAGAGTTCATGGTTATCAGTCTGGTCAGTGGTTCCGTTTTCTGTATTAGGCGGGCCTGGGCTGGTTGGAGATTCTGGGGAAACTACAGTAGTCGAAGCAGCTAAAATTACGATATTTTGTGGAGTGTGAACTGTAGATGAGAATGAAGCAGAGCGCTAGAGATGAAGACATAGATACTAGGAAGACCATTGTGACAGAAAAATGGGAAGATAGTCAGCAAAGTCACGCCCATCATCGTTAGCCTTCAGGTATGCAGCCTGTACACAGGCGATGACTCATTCATATAAGAAGTTCTGAAGAGGAGAATAAGGTGTAGGTGGTGAGAGTGAGAAGAGAAGAGGAGAGAAATGATTTTGATGGGCAGTGGTGGTAGGCATGCAGGGCACCGAGGCATGCGTTACAACAATAATAACATTACAACAAAGATTAGATGTTATAAGCTTACCATATAGACGTAGGAAGTCGATTTATTAAGGAGGAATGTCGCGTGTTGAAATTTAAATTTTATTGAGATTTGGAATATTCCAAGTTCCTATGACCCTAGAGTAGGTAAGCTGGGAATGGAAGGCAGGGGCGATGATACATAAATCTTGAGCAGAGTGGTACTGTATGCGGTGGCGACTTGAACTGTAGTAATTTTCAGTATATACGGGGGCTAGGCTCGCAAGCAGGTGGCAGTTGAAGGCAGTTGATGGTAGGTGTTTGTAGTATTTCTTCATTCTTGGGATTTAATTCTTCTTGAGTTTTCATTCTTCAATCGCTGGTCTACAGACTTCAGTGCTCTTCTTTTTTTCATCTTCAAGTTCCTTGTAGTTTTCAGCGAACTTGAATCGCTGTTCTTCTTGGGTTTCGCGGAAGTCGTGGCTGTCATACTTTTCGTTGACATTGCTGTGCTGTCGTTCTAGGTTGTAGGCGCAGTTTCCAGTAGAAAACGATCAGGTGTGTAGTGAACCTTTCGTCGAGGAGGGGATGGTGTACCTACTGAAATAGTTTCATCTGACAATTCAGTTGAATCAAGCTGAGGCGGTGTTCCTTGAAGGTTGAGTAGTAGCAGGTCGTGGAAAGGGTTGCCGAGTGGTTGCTGTGACTACAGCTAAAATAGAAGGATCGGTGGGCGTATCCATGGTTCGTTGAACGTCGGTAGTAATCTTCGTGGAAGTGGCAGGAAGGGCTGGAGGGTCGTCTTCATTTACTGGGTCAGATAGAGGGGTAAAAGCAGGTGTTGCAGGCTGTGTAGCTGCCGAGGCGGTTTCCGCTGATGATGAAGGCACCTGCCGTGTAGGAAACACTGTCCTCGGGAACTCTGAAGGTTGTTAAGCCGTTTGCAGCATACAGCGAGTTGAGAGTTGTGACGGACAAACTATTGTCAGACGCAGCAATCCTCTTATACCTGCTCAGCAGAGCAGGTATAAGACCAGCGTCTGAAGTAGGTCCAGATTGAACTTCTGATTGGACGTTGGGCCCCCAATGAGGTGGCTGGCAAGTTACGCAAGTACTTAGAAACGTTTTCCTTCTTACCATCTTCGTAGCGGCTACGTCGGGATTCAGGAAGGCATTTAAGACCCAGGAGGATACAGGGCAACACCTTCTTTACTGCACTAGATTTCACAGTGCTCGCGTCAGACTACAGAGTGCCGGTCGTAAGCTGAAATATTTCCCGCCTCACAGTTCCCGTTCTCCTTGACGGGGCAGGTGCGAGAGACGAAGACGTACGATATGACATCCTTCGCCATACCTTCCGCTTCATCCGTCATGTTCGTGGCCTGAAGAGAGTGTAAAGTATGTGACCTGCGGAGATTGTAGGGTCTGTGGCCTGAAGAGACTGTAGGGATCCCATCCCTCTTTGTTATTTCCCGGTATCGGGCAGCCGGGCACATCCGATCCCACGATCGTCGTCGCCACTAAATCAACATCAACATTATATTTCGTGAGTCCTTTATGTTAGCTATATATGCAGTTCCTGTTTGTAACTTGTAATATGTATTTTATATTATTATAATTAGGTTTATAATAGCAAGATATTATTCCAGCAATTATTAAGTAAATAAACACTGGTGAACATGAAATATGAGAGTAGGTGATGATCCCGGGCTGGTGGGAGATTTACTATCACCTAATGCTCCTGTTCACCTAGCAGTAAGTATAGGTAAGAGTGTACCCTAGCTATACTTACCCACTTGTAATTTATTTTGTTTGTTTTTATTTATTTTGAAATTAAATCTGGGTAAGACTTAAAAGAAAAATATGCTGCCAAAATGATGTTGGGCAACCGTTTTTTCTAGTTAAAATTCAGCAGCTTAAAATGTTTTGTCATTGAATACTTAAGACCTGTAATTATGATTATAACTGAACATTAAGGCCTGTTAAAAAGAGAGGGGGAAGCAGGGGAGAATGGGATGGGGACTGAAGGGGTTAAGGGGCAGATGGGTAGTTTCATCTCACAGGCTGTATTACAAGATTGCTTTCTGTTTTCTGGATACCCATTACTGTATGGTGTTGCTGTACACGGATCCAAAAAAATTATCACCAATTGGTGAGGCAGCTACTTATTTGAGGAATGCTTATTTTAGTTGCCTTATAAGCTGGGGCAGCTTATTTGATTTGAGGCCAATACATTCACTGGAGATAAATTTGCTTTTAAAAGATACATATAATTGCACTTATGAATAAAAAAAATTCCTGTCAGCTGTAAAAATATTTATGCACTTATTTAAATAAAGAAATATTCGTTTTATATTTTTTTATCATTTTTTCTCATCTTTTGTATATCTATTTTAAGTGTAATATAGCCATACTGGCTTTTCTGTATTTTCTCCTGATAATTACCTTATCTAAGTTATGCTCTAGCTCTCTGTTCAGGCTAAGGTAATGCAAGGAATTTGGAAACGCAAGTGAAATCTCAAGATATACCTGTATTGAACAATTTAAAATAAATATGACTAACAATGCACATTATACCAAAATCAGATCTTAATGACCCATGGTTAACATGTATGAACTTTAGATGTTTAGCAATGAAGTTAGCCTGTGTGGGGGATTGCCCATCTAATTTGTGACATTCTCTTAAATAATAAAGTAATGTTGCTAGTGTTGAAAAAGTTTATATAATCCATATCCTATTAATATTTATATCAAACTCAATTTGCATAACAAGTAGTGAAAAGTATAACTTCTACAAAATGCTTAATTGGTTTAATATACAAACCTTGATCTATAAATGTGTTTACTTTTTGATGAACAAGCTAATTTCAATTTGTACCATACAATTTTACTTAGCATTAATATTTTATATACCAACTGAACCTAAACAAATTTAATTTGGTCCTCAACACAAAAGTCTTTAGACAGAAGTAAAAGTTATTTGTTTTTCTTTATTACCTTACCTTTTAATGTATACTCCTGTCCTGCATAACACATGGCAGCTACACCAACTGATGTTAACTTATCAAAGTTGCCAAATTGTTGTCATAGCTAGTGAAGTGTAGTGTTAAATTCTTCAACACCTATACAGTATGATAATATAAAGCTACACAGTATGTAGCTTTAGCTTTGTATACAGTGATAAAGTCTGGAGAATGGTACCAAAATTAAAACTATGCACAGCACTAAAATACCTAGAATATCATTTATTTCTGGTGTGCTCCTCGGGGGTTCTATTACATCAACCAAGGAAGTTTTTTAGAATCACGATTAGCATTTAGGGATAGGTTTTGTACATGTAAATAGCACGAGATTGGGTGGTGTGTATGATTTGCATTTTTAAGAATTTAAATATTCAAGCCTGAATTGATAATTTAGTAAGGATAATACTGGTAATAATAATAGTACAATCTATAATTTAAAACCTTTATTACCGAGGAATCTCAAGTAGGATTAAAAACGGTAGTCTTCACCTACAGGGTTAAATCCATGGAACAGCCTACCTGCCAAAGCAGCAAATGCCAAAACCGTTAGGTTTTAAAATCCAACAGGAAACAATCAAGGTAAATGGGTGGGGGGGGGAGGAAAGAGACCTTTAGAAAGCCACCGGCTTACTGTCCTCGAGGCCACTAGTGTTAGTAGCTTTCAGGTAAATATAGTGTCAGCATATCACATCTCTGCCCTCCAAGCCCTACACATACACTAATGAATACAGATCTGTTAGTAGGGCCTACATTTTTATATGCCACCAGGATGAGTTATGAATCCATCATAAGGAATATGACTTGTCAGAGCAAAGTTGCACGTTTTTAGTGTTCCTTGATGTCCGTTTAGACGGAGCCAACATGCCATGCTACATCTTGGAATTATGTATATAGTATAAGGAAAACTAACTTTTTTACTACAATGTCGGTGATAACTGTACAACTTTAAAAATAAACTTACTTCTAAATAAAATAACTTTACAAGAATATACAACAAATAAGTGACTGGTAACGATCAATGACCCAGCATTCGTGATTGGCTAAGGCAGTAAGACGAACGATGTTACCTTCTCTGATTGGCCAAACAAAATGCCCTAGTGACATCTATCGAGACAAGTGCACTACATTAAAATTGCAAATAACTGTGCAAACACCTTTCTTAAATCATAGATAGGACTTCTTACCCAGTACTTTAGGACCTTTGTAGCACAGCTACTTAAATCCATGACATTTTGTGAATCTAGGTCCTAGAAAGGTAGACGTCTTGTTGTACACCATGGCGAAGGCAAAGCCGAGCCGATACCGCCGACCCACCCTTCAGGGTAGTGTCGAAGGAAGTACACCCCCTCACTATCTGGTTGGCTTAGCCAAGGCGAGGAGCAACCAGAGGCTAAATGCAGTCATGTCAGGGTATATATTTATTTTTTTATTTTTTTACGAGACGGCACAGCTGCTAATAAATGTGGGGAATTTTGAAAATGTTAAGTTTCTATATTCTTACAAGCTGGTTTGAATTTAGTGCCGGAGGGGATTAGGAAATCAAATGGCATTTAAGGCAAAGTGGTGCTTGTCAAATTAAATGGATGCATTTACCATGATCAAGCCTAGGCATTTTTCAAAATTAAAATTACCCACTGATTGTGGCCATTTGCACTAATTTGCATGTTTTTGGTATAAAAAGTAACAATTTATAACTAAAAGACATTATGAATTCCATTCAAAAACAAACTACTGTACATTGTTCACGATATTTGTTGTTAGTGACAATTCAGTACTTTTTCTTTAGTAACAAAAGTAGTGTATTAATACATATTAGATATAGAAAATTCTATCCAGAAAGAGACAAGCCAACTGACTAAATATTCTAAGTGTTATACATAAATAAAATGTTACCTTGGATATTAAAAGTAGTGTAATTTGGACTACCATTTATTAAGCACTAATGTGGAATGTACTGCAAATGCACAAACACAGTTACAAACATTGGTATGCAAAAATAGACATTCAATTAAAGTCACAGCAAAATCAAATGGCACTATTTAAATGAGGTAATGTCAAAAATACAAAAAAATTAAGACTTAATCCTCATTAATGTTTCCACATTTACAAGTGCCTTTTATATGCTTTGCTACAAGATCTAAAACAAAGGATGCTTTAGCTTAAATCAACACCAAAACAATAAAAGCAAAAAATTAAATTTAGTTTGTGCAGTGGAGCAACATCTGCACGAAAGTGATGCCATTATATTTCAGACCTTTGTAATAAAACTGTTCAGTAGTCCATTCAGGAAACCTGAACAATGAGATGCCTTTGTCTCAATATCAGGGTGAGAGATTAGCCCAAACTATTTTGCTGAAGAATTAGGCACAACCTTGCTGAAAACAAATAGCAATTTTAAAAATGCTCCAATTAAAACATTAAATTTGAATTTTCTTTGAATTCCTTCGAGAATTCAAAAATTATAAAATCAACTTTACAAAAAAAAATTCGTGTACAATTAAACCAAGATCTCCCAGTCTAGACCTTCATAATTATAATAATTCGAGGAATAAAATCATAACCTTAATAAACTGGCAAGGCTTAGCCTTAATAAAAGACTAATACAGACCCAATTAAAACTAGCTTATGAAAATTACGAAAACTTTAATAAACAATGACCACACAAGGCAATTCTAGCTGAGAATTTATGCAAATGTATTGTCTAGAAAATAACATTGAATTTATCACTTTATGGAGAGTATCCCGATGAGCATTCAGCATTACTGGTGCTGTAATTAGCACAAACTTTGCTACATACATCACTTACACAAAGAATAAAAATAAATTGTCAATGGTTGCAAAAGCTTTCAAATTTCATTCATTAGAACTAATTAAAAAATATCTTTACATAATGTACAAAGATGAAAACTAAAACCTGTATTCCTAATGATACAAGGCAGTCTTAGAATACAGGATTTCAGTTTCAATCTAGGCTAGAAAAATCCTTAAACTAAAGACAGATCACAAGACTCTTAATGTTAAATGTTTAATTGAGAATATCACTGGATATTGGAAACAGTTGGGAAGTCAAGGACATTGATGTACAGCAATGTAAACCTATTGCAGGAGGCGCTAAGGATGTGATTGCCGCAAAACACGAGACAGCAGAAGGCAGTGTGGACAGGTTTTTAGGAAGTATACAAGGGAAAGGGGTCTTCTCTCATCCTGGGACAACTACTGCATTCTTATTGGGGGAGGGAAGGGGAAAGGGGGTTAAATAACCAAGGACCTCCATTCACCAAATTCACCCACTCATCCAGCACCCTACAGACATCCCAGTTTATGAATGATAATCTAAATTGTCTCTACATTAATGCCTACTTCTGTTGGTCAGTGCACTGTCAGTAAAATGATCAGAAACATGTGACAGACACTTCCAAAATTATAAAATTGGCAGTAAGAGGCATTATCTAAATATTCATTAACCTTAACATTACCTATCACTCTGAACCCAGCAGTAAATAGAGACATTAATGTTAAAGCTGAGCATAGGCATCATGTACAAGCTAACATCACTGCATGTGGCATTATAGATTCAATTGGAATCTACATTAGAAGGCAAATTAGATATGGGGCGATTAGCTTCAAGGGGAACATCAAATCTGCGAGAAATCTGAAGACAATACTAACCACCATTTGCCCTGAGGGTGAGAGGGTAGTTTCAACTTGCTCAACTTCAGAGCAATGGATGGGGGGGGGGGGGGGGGGAGGAAAATATATTATTCTAATAGCCCATTTTCCTAACATCTACTCAAAATGGGTTACACTAGGATTGTGATGGATGGGCAGGGACAGAATGGTATAATGGCCAAAAATAGACTTTCAAGAAGAGCTGCTCTTCTCTAGCCTGCTGGCTTATGAGATGTAATCTCACTAGGATGTTGTGTTGCTTATTGGTTCTGGTGAAATTCTTTGTGGGTTCCTTGGGCCGAATGGGTGGGTGGGAGGAATGGAGAGGGTCAAGGGACCTAACCAGATGAGGCAGTTTCATGCTTCTCAGCAGCCATAAGTCGTTCCTTGTTAGCTCGAACGAGTTCAGCTCTACGATCCTGTGGGAGAGAAAAACACATTTAAGACTACAGGTATTGTACTGTAATGCAAGTAAACCAGGCAACATTAAATAAAATAAAACTAAATAAAATGCAAAAAGAAAAAGATAACTTATAAATAGGACCCAAAAGTGGCAATTATTCTTCACTCACACTTTCTTCCTTTGCCTTTCGTGCCTTTTCTGCCAATTCCATGCGGTTCTTGTCTGCAATATCAAGTTTCTGCCCCAGTTTCTCTAAGGTTTTCTTCTTTAATTCTTCTTCTTCCTTTGTGCGGTTTTCTTGAACCTGTTCCAACTTTACTGACATCGTCTTCGTATTCTCCAGTCGCTTAGCTTCTTTTTCCTTGCTAATTTTACGCAAACGTTCTTCCTTTGCAGCAAGTTCCTGTTCTAGCTGCCTCTGGACTTCCTCATTCTTCTTTGTGACAAGCTCTTGAGCTTCACTGATTTTATTAGACTGCCACAAAAGGAACAAAAATAAAAATTAAATAAAAATAAAAATTAAAAAAATAAAAATAAAAATTAAAATGAGGATGGAGGAAGGAAAAGAAAAAAACAAACTTAGTCTAGCACTTTCCAAAGTACATCTTTTGGAGATGAAGAAAAATCAAAACCAGCGGGCAACCCACTTACCATAATTCAACACAATGAACTGTAAAAGCATAATTCCTAGTAACTAGGCCTTGTGTTTAAATGATGCACAGAATTTTCAGTAAAGTGCTTTGCAGAGCTCTGGTAATTACTGTATGCAGTAATAAGAAAAGGGATAAAATTATGATTACTGTTACATTCAAGAAACTTCAGCAGTTTTGTCCAGCACTAATGCTGGAATGAAACTGGCACAACACCTAACATAGAAATGTAATCGTTAGAGCATGACAGGACGAGTAATGCACATGTCTACAGATTAACGGTTCATGCAATAGCACGCTTCTAATAATGGACAATCACAAAGAAAACCAAAGGCTAAAGCAACTCATGTCGTTAAGTACAGTAGAGAGCTCGTGTACAAGAACTTGAGTGACACCACCCTGTCGTCCTAAGGTTTCCCAATGTCAAGAAATTGTCTATTTAAGGTGTCTTCTCCTAACCTACCAGAGGACCCAAAAATGGGACAGTACGTCACTTCAGTAAGCCTCTTCCATTTTCTTGTACGACAACTTTTGGACTTTTTTAACGCATAGGAGTTAAAAACGGTGTTCTTTGTAGGACAAGATTAAAGGACTCCCAAGCCATGAGGGCACTGCGAGTCAACTACAACATCAAGGGAAGAATTACGGCGAGAAAGCAGTTTAAGAGCAAACAAAATTGCATAAAGTTCAGCAGTGAAGATTCTAGTATCTTGAGGCAGCCAGCCAGGCGACATGGGTGTGGTTGAGAAACAACGGAGTAGCCTACACCATCATCAGACTTGGACCCATTTGTGAAGACGGAGATGGAGCGGGAGTGTGAAGTGAGCAAGGAAAAATGCCTTGGTCATGCAGGTCAAGGATCTACAAAACTTAAGAGGGCCCCCTTCCAAGGGGGCAAGGATGGAATGACAAGGAGAAACACTGGCAACAAAAATCTAGAGAACCTTGCAAGGAAGATAACCATACAGAAAGGGGAAGGTGGTGAAAGGGAACAGGGCCCACAGGAGGGGTAACTGTCAAAGTACGACATAAGCAAGAGTGAGGGTGTTGTAAAGTGGGAGCAAAAACCAGCGAATAGTTGGAGTATGCCCAAATTTAGATAGCGAAGCACTTGCCAAATGGCAGATTGTTTCATGTTTAAAAGTGAAGCACTGAACAAAGGTAATAATAGTTACCAAATATCAGAGCCATGTTGAATTTACAGTCTGAATACGAGAGATCCAAGCATCATGGTTAGCAGGGATCTCGACACATTCAATTCATAAATATATGAAATAGTCAAAATAGGGTAAGGATACATTAAAGTAAGCCCTAAGGCTTTCTTCAACTACATCTTGTTTTAGTCTAGCTATAGAAGGAACAAACGCTAGAAATAGAAAGTTTTGCATGGCTTTTGCTTTCTGGACAATTTTGACATTTCGGGACTAACATTCTCATATTCCCCTCCCAATCAAGACATAGTTGGTAGACATTGAAAGTTCCAAGGCCTGGTAGTTCTGGATGTCTGCAGTACCAGTCTCTGCACTGGTTTGATAGCTACGCTGCAGACTCGCCAAACAAAGTAGTGAAAATGACAGGGTGGACAAGAGCTTTCTAAATATGGTAACACGAATGAGTTTACCAAGCATTTGAACTCTTTCAAAATGTAGCCAGAACATCAATATATTTCACTAAAGTGGATACAGTACAAGAGTAATCAAGGATATAATAACTATACCCACAAATTTGTGAAAGTATACCTTTCGATTTAAACAATCTAGTGATCATACCCCTAATTTTGTCCAGTAATTTTTTCACATGAACTTTCAATCCTATTTTCAAACTAGCATTTAACAATTTCCTTTATGTAAACTTCCAAATTATACCCATTATTTTAAGCTACATTGTGTGCCAATATACCTTTCTCGTATCCTTTCCTTTATTTACCGTTTTTTCTTTAATCTATCTTCATAAGGGAAGATTCCAATTCCTATGATTACTTTGGTCAAGTGAATTTTTATCTGTTCTATAGTATAGTGATCAATACTGGAATACGCAACTTAAACCGAGCCTAAGAAGGGCATGATATAGCGAAGAATATTAGAGGTCTAAGAAGAAATTTAAGTACCCCTATTTGTTTCATTCCTTGCATTTATTATTCTAACCTAAGATTCCTACCAATCATGATTCTCAGGTTCCCATTAAGAATTTTTTATTTCAGCATTTCTTTAGAGGTAATGCCTCCCACACAATTGTGTTTTGATAGATTATTAAGAACTACGGAATGCATTTGCAAATTGTGAAAGCGTTGGTAATTACCAATTCTATTTTGAAAATTTGTTCCAAGTTATTTATGCTTTAAGAGTTAATATTTAACTTCAATTTAACAGTACCATAAATAGCTTATTTTAACATGCTTTAATGCCTGCAAACTGCCATTCTTAAACACATACGAGCACAAGAATAAATACATTATGCACATACATGTTCTCTAAGTGTTTCAAGTTTCTTCATTATTTCTGTCTCGCGTTTTGCCTCTGCTACAACCAACTTGGCCTGAATCCTCTCTTCTAGATGCCGAATGGCTTCCTCATGTCCTAGGCGAACCTTCTGAGCATATTCCTCCTGAAAATAAATGCATATATAAGGAGAGGAAGGAGACATTTTACAAACAGTATTAAAAACCATCTCCATCCCAATTCATACAGTAATTCAATTCTACTTTTGAATAAATTCGATATGCTCTCAATTAATTTAGTCAACACTAACATGATCCTTCAGCTTCTCTAGCATCTTTCCCATGTTCTCATTTCGGTTTTCTTCAGCAGAGCGCAGTTTATCTTCAATGGTTTGGCGAAGTTCATTTGTCTGAGCTTCCAACTGTTTACGCACACTGTCTACATTATTCAGCTGAAAGAAATAGAAAGTTAACATGAAATTTATTAATATATTTATTTAAATTAAATGTGAAAAATACTCCACCTTAAGAGTAGTGAATTATATAATCACACCTCTGCCTACTATTCATGAAGAGGAAAAGGTAACCCAAGTACCCCAAAAGGTAGGCTGTACTCTTTTCATCCACATACGGAATATGTCCACTATTCATATCATTTATTTACTGCAGTTAGTATATATTGTGGCTTATTTTGGTACTATACATCAACTAATTACCATAAGGAAATGAACCTGGGCTCTAGAGTATTTGATGGTACATATCATGTTCGAGACTTTATTAAATTTTTTTCCTCTACTCGTGCCTTTGGGACAAGCCTAGTAGACTATACCTGCACTTTCTCTAGCTTGCCTTGTGTTGAGAGTTGGGCTAGCACAAAAATTATTTCATTTTATTATTCCAGTGGTAAATAGGGCTCTGAAATTTGTTTTCCCAGATTGTTCATAAATGTAGGCTTTGGGAACATTTAACGGGAGTTCATCCCTTCTCCCACAGGGTTACCTCGAGGTGGTTTCGGAAATTAACACCCCTGCGGCCCAGTCCTCAGCCAGTCCTCTTTGTTGCTCGACTGGTCTACGCAGGCCGTTTGACTCTGCTGCTCGCAGCCTGACGTACGAGTCACAGCCTGGTTATCAGGTATCCTTTGAAGGCGCTTATCAAGTTCTCTAACACTGAGGGATCAGCCAGTTATGCCCCTTACGAGTAGTGGGTGTGTGACAGTCTCTGCCTTCTGATGTCTACTAGACAGATTACCCGATGTCCCTACCTACAGGTCAGTTTTGTTCTGTGCACCTAGCTTCATTACTTTGCCATTGGTAGGATTAAATGCATTATAGCCACATTACGTGAACATCTTCCTGAAATTTGCCTTCCTCCATTTTCTACTCCTACATTTTGAATCTGCAAACATGGGTAAAGAAGCATCAATATTGTGATTATTATTCACAGAAAACTGGAATATGGCAGGCCTCTAGTAGAAATTCTGGAAGGATCTATTAGGACTTCATTATCAGTGATAATTTTCCTCAATAATTGCTTAGAATTACGATGCCCATTCCTTGTCAATACCACAGACAAAAGGTGCATGAGTGACATGCAATGGCACACTTAATTGTAAATTATAGTGGCTTATTTAACCCAGTGCATGTTTTGTACATAATATTTGCCAGTTTTCAAGATTAAAGTTTAGAGCCAACTCTGTAGGCTACGTATGCATACCAAAGTGTCCTACATATTAATTTAAAACATTTGTTGTATAGATTAAAAATATAATTAGCTTGATTTAAATATCCTAATACTAATTAATACCAAGTACCTTTATACAGGTACTTCAAAACTGACAAACTTTTACAGATGTAGCTAGTGTGTGCGCTTATCCCTAAAAAGACTAAGTGCAATTTCAAGGCACATGAATTTGTAATTCCACATCTACTGCCAACTCACATGGTCTGAGATCTTGGCACGTAGGCCGTTGAGGTATGCCTCACGGTTATTGGAGGTTGTGTCAAGCTTGTCATCTAGGGCAGTTTGGGTTGCAGCAATGAAAGCAGCAGTAGACTCTTCTCTCTTGCGACTAGCTTCTTCCAAACGTGTCATGCGCTCTCCAACGCTAGCAAGGCGAGAGGCCTCTACGGACTGGAAAGATGACACTTTTTAGATACAGTACTGTATTAAATTTATGCTTTCTAAAGCTTATTTAATTTTTTTTTTTTAACATTTGAACGTTTATACACAATTGATAAATTTCAATACCTTCCTGCGTTCTTCAGCCTGCAGCAGTTTCTGGGTAATCTCATCAGCAGTCATACTCTTGGGACGTGGGGAGGAGATTGCTGTAGGTGCGGGCTTGTCAGCAGATGGTTCTGCAAGGATCACCTCGTAGCACATTCCACCACGAGACTTCTCTTCACACCTGATCTCGGTGGCTAGAAAGAAAATTTAAACAGCAATGAGCACTACTACTATTAAAGCATTTTTATAATATAGTACTATACAAAACAATAATTTTAGATATTTATAACTAGGATGTTGAGCTAAGAAAAGCATGGCTGAAAATTACTCATTACTTCACAATTTTAGTCAAAAGTAGGCTAAAAAGGGAAAATGGATATCTAACAAAATAGCACAAGGTTTCTAAAGTACGATTTTTGCAACTTGCAAGAACAAAAGTCATATATTCAAGCCAAAGAAACAAAGAGGCCAAAAGAACAATATTTATTTTGCAGTTTTAGAAAATTTGAATTTGTTCAACACCAAAACCATTAAGAGGAAAAACAAAAACACTGGAAGACTGTACACAAGTGTAGCTCATCCTGTACCTACACAGGTAATTACAAAGGCAAACTTTGAATAAGTTCTTAGAACAAATTTAATGTGTAAATTTGCTATATCCTTTAGGGTACTGGGGATTTGAATTCTTACACTACGAATTTAAACAAAGGAAAATAAACATTAAATATTGTAGATCTTTATAAATATCTGGTTCCATATGTAAAGTTTACACACTTTTTGCATAATGATTCCTTTGTACCTATTAAAGTATTTAGTGACTTTTGGAATTACTGTACATAAATTGTCTAGTTGTGCTTGTGGCCATTTAGCTTTGGCTCCTTGGTCCCACCTCTCAACTAGGTGTAGTTGGGGGATTTTAATCAGTGCTTGGATACAGTGGCAATTGTTGACCCATTTCAATTTTGGTGGGTTGAAAGGTAGTGAGTAGGGCTCAGGGTCCTTAGTGGTGTTTGCTGGTACTGTATTACAAGTTGACAGGCTCATTACCTAATTATGAACTTAATTTATGCAAATATATATAAAAAGCAGTAAAGGCCAACAAGTGAAATAGCGTAATGTGAGAAAACTTTATTCACTTGTGTGGGGTGGGAGGAGGGGATGGGGCCTGGCGTGATGTGATGGGCAACAGGTACTCAACAAGTGACAAACTAAAGTGGATACTCTCCGCCACAATGAATCATTCCTTCGGTAATTATTAACATCCAGGATAAATCATTTCCGGAATGAAATGAGTAAACAAAAAATACGAATACAAGAGTTAAACTAAGAGCTGTGACGAGCCTACGCCCTACACAGCCATCGCCTCCCTGCAATGCGACAGTGGCAGCAAGTCTTGTCTGGTCGGCTCCCACCATTATTCTCGTGTAACCTGTACTCGATACAACTAACCATTTCTATGCTGCTTTAGCAAATTAAGCCTACACGCTTCTTTTAGCCATTTAAATTAGCCCAACAAAATCAAATTGTCAAAAGTTGCTTATTTGCCACTAAACTAAAGCCTGGTCAAATGGATAAACGAGGGCTAGTGTGTTGTAGTCAAAGGGGATGGGGGAGGGGGTTGCGAACTTCGCCAGAGGCAGCAACTTTAGGGGGTTCAATGTCCGGTGATGACCTAGAATGACGTCAAGGCCACTGGGGAAATTAGATAAACCACCATATGCCTGCACTCTCTGCCGCCATGCTCCCGGATGTTGGGTCCACCATATCGCAAGACCACTTTATTCCCCATGTGCTACTGCAACATTCACAGGGCTAGTGCCATCTATATTTAGGGTGGGTCTGGGGGCGATAGCGGCGAAGGCCTGGCACTACGTCACCGGCGGGGCCACCAGCCAAGGTGGCGCCCTGCTCCTGACCTTGACAATTCCCAGACACCACGCCCACCCATCCCAGCCACACTCTTACCTTGCCTCCAAGACTGTCCTTCCAGCAATCCACCATCAACACCCTACCTTTTCTTGCAACCATTATATTTATATAAAAAAAATGGACTAATGTCCCGTGTCTTAAAAGTACAACCATAATTTAAAGCTAAACAAAATTCACCCGATTCATTGGACGATTCTACGAACCGTCCTGTCAAATTATAAGTTCTTCGCATGAAATTTAATGTCTGAAATGTACCATTAAAAAAGTGAGGCCTACAACCGCGCTAAAATGGGCAAATTTCAAAATGTGTAACTTTACGCACAGCTGTGCTTCTCGACATTGAAAAAGAGGCTGCTATTAGAGATGGGTACCAAGGCAGATCATCTCTGTTGTCGCAATTACCCCTTTAAGATGCCTGGTCGAGGACCGAGCCACGGGGACGCTAAGCCCCGAAATCATTGCAAGGTAAGTTATCTAGTTGGAGCAAGAAGGGAAGTTATCTAGTGCATATAGCTAATGTATAATTAGAATTAAATACACACACATACATGACAAGAGCATCGCGTATTCTGACGCTTGTAAATACAATGCTGGGACTGATTATGGGGAAGCGCTCTCATCTTCTAGTCGCCCCACACAGCCTCCCACTACATCAAACACACTTCTCCATCACAAAATTAACTCTTCTGAATATAAACTAGGAACATTGAAAACTTAAACTCTTCACGTGAAGAACTTTTGTCAAGAAGAAATTCTGAATCACAAACCTTAAAATCTGGGGGAATAAAAGTTATTCTTTAATATAATGAAACCTAGCCTGTGTATTTATCAGTGTTAAAACTTGTATATGAAGCATCTTTAACGAAACTGACAACGATCAACGAAGTTAACGACATTAGATCCTCTGGCGATGTACATCCCATTAAGTCATTTAGATCTGATGAATACCATTTCTTCATATCTTTCCTACAATATATATATCACAGTTTGTAATGATTAAGAAAATTAATACTACTACAGTACCTTATCTACCTTTGTTCCGAGGAACCATTGTTTTCGTGGCGCAGTCTAACAAGGCCGCCTGGTCATTTGGTCAACTAGGTTAAGCCGTCGTTGCAAGCAATGGCCGTCTTCTGCCGATTAAGTACCCATTAGGGGCGTATCGTGAAACAAATTTGAACACCGAAAAGGAGGTTAGCTAGCTATGCACTTTATGTTCAGGAAGCTGGGTGTTCACGTGTCTTGTTAGTAATGTTCATGTTTGTCCTATGATTAGGTACTGCAAGCCCACATTTTTTAAATGGGGCTATCCTGCACTCTTCCCCCCCCCCCCACGATTCCTGATATCCTAAATTATTTCTGCGTGTTGATTTGGAACCAACACCTCTTATATTTTCAATCTAAATCTGGGCTGCACTACAGCTTTATTACAGTTATATTTGTATGACCACACGGGTCTGTCAGGAGCGAAGTGTTTCATACTAGGCATCGAGTGTCAAGTGAAACTTGAATAACTAGTATACAGCTTACGAGCCTCATTCACAGGTTCATTACCAATCAAATTAGCATCAATTTGACAAGACCAATTAATAACCAAACTTACACAATACAATTTATTTTTAATAATCCTACTGGGCTGCAAGACTAATTCAAAGTATTACATTCCTGGCGATTTTGTATGGTCTTTTAAACTGCAAGTGAAGCTCTACAGTTTAAGTTAGACTTTCAGGTGTACGCATACAATGTTATTTCTTTCGCAAGACCAGAGACATGCGACAACTTTTTTAAGCTGTTCAACACTCCTGAAAATGAGATTATATTAGCACAACTTTTTAAACTAAATTGCTCTAGACTTTGATTACTTAAACCCTCTTGAATTGAGAAAAGTTAAGTTTATACGTTTGATTTTAAAAGTGAAAACCCCAGACATGTCCAGAAATACGTGGATCACTAAACCAAAATGTAATAGTATTAGTGTGAACTGGTGTGGGAGGCCCTGCCTCTTGTGGACGGCACCACATACTTACCAACATATTTCCTGCCCTTCTTGGGCTGTTTGCACTTGGGTTTCTTCAGCCCCTTCTTGATGGGCTTCTTATGATACCGACCTAAAAGTAAGAGTCGCACCATTTAGTCTTCTAATAATTTCACATTATAGCCTGCAGGTCGTAACTTTCAGATTTGTTTCTCAGACGGAAATATAAGGGACACTTCTCCAATTTCGTTTTAGTGCACATTTCAGGTTTTCAACGCTTCGAAAAAAAAAAAAAATAGTTCAGCAACTTCATGGACCTTTGAACTTTATGAAAAGTTCAACCAATACAGCTTTCACACTATGAAGATTATAGATGGAAGGAGAAAGGTGCTGCTTCTTTCCTGGATCCCTTAGGATCCGGAAAGTCTCGAGTTTAGCCAGGAAGGTGCACGCGAGTGCTCCACACCTGCCACATGATGGCTCCAGATAACCCTAAGGAAGGTGGGGTAGCAGAAGGGGTGTCAGACTAAAGAGTAGCGACAAAGTACTTTGGGGCGAGGATGTTACTGGAAGAAATGATATACGTGAAAAAGATTCACCACTTTCTCCCTGTAGGTATGCACCAGCACAAATGAAAAATGTCTGATCAGTATCCATTAGAAAGGTAACAAGACAACTTTCCTATAGTGTGAAATACACAGCAATAGCACTTGAGCGCTAGCAAGTTAAATTTAACTGAAACCCCATGTCTCCCGAAATAAAATGGAGTAAAATGATATCTACAAATGGTGTAGAAGTGGCGGAACTGAATGCATTAGTTTTCCCCGCAGTCTCTAATTGAAGAAAAGCCAAAGGGTCGGGGGAGGCGAGGGCAAGTGCGTGTGCCGAGAGGGACAAGTAGGAGGGAGGAAAGTGTTGTCAGCCGTCGTGCATACAGAGTGCGCGGGATCAATAGCACCACCACAAGTGGCACCAGATACACCACAACCCACCCGCATCCTGCTTCCCTCCTCCACTCGTCACATTACTCTTCTACCCATCACTATGTGGAGATACGGACGTAATTCATGCCCCCAAGTTAAGAAACCGTCCCAATTTATATCCATGCATCACGCACCAAATACTCTTAAGAATCAAAGACAGGACCAGTGACCATTAACCACAAAAGTTATCGGGTTTCGTGCAATTACTTTCCTTCCCCCCAGTAATCAAACTGTTGGGGCATCAATTTTTACAGTATCGCCACTTCATACTTTTACAAGACAAAGGAAAGGGGGTACAGTATTCTCTAAGTTAGCCTATTATTCCATGTTTCAGCTTCAGGAGTTGAAGTCAAACGAGCACAATTCACATCTTTACTGGAAACATTCTCAGCAAGGACCTGAAGTGACTAAGCTTCACAAATGCACGTTAGTCCAGTAGTGTAGCAGCTGCGCCGCCGCTGCTGCTTTACTACACTAAGTGTGCACTTCAAGAAATTATCTGTAGGAACCTTTTTGAACGACCTCTTAACCAACGAGTAAAGGGCAGCAGCTGCGGCCAGGAACATGCTGCAGGGGTGCCGCGTCTGCTCGACTCTCCACGCGTTTCTAACCAAGCATTACAGGTTATCTATAATAATTTTAAACATCCTTTGAACAGAACGGGGTATTAACCAGCTTTCTGGGTAACTCTTTGCTCTAAAAGACCATCTCAGATGTATCACTTGTGATTTCACCGAATCTTTTACCCCGAAACACGGAGAAAAATCTAGGTTGCTGCTTGTACGTATGGTTGAGACGCTTGGCACGCCTTCCCTAATTACAGGGAGTTGTACTGGGAGGAGTTCTACTCCAACCTAGTGTCAGGTTTGTCTTTTGATACCATCAAAATTCCGAAAAGGGTCAAGTTTTGAGCAGCCTGTAGGCAGTTCAATAATTATCTGTGTACCACTTTAAACCTTCACGAAACTGCTAGGTCTCTACGTTAAGTTCAGAATCTTAATTATTAGGCAATAGGATTAGTAAAAAAAAGTAAATGATTTACGTTGGTAATAAATGGTTAGTTTAAGAAGCGATTCTGTTCCCTTAACCTGCATGAGAGGTTCAAACTGCTAACGTAACCCATGTCTGGTTTTATAAGGTGTGGAATCGTGTATCACAGTGAACATGACTTTAGGGGATTGGGGTGGATGGCTTGTTGGGGACAAGGCAGGTTCCACACAACCCACTGCTACGATGAAACTAGTCGAGTACTATAGGAAGCTTTGCCTAAGCGTACGAACCTAATCAAACCCATGTAAGTATCTGGCTTGAGGTCCTGTAATTTCAATAAACTACCGTAATTTGGCCGTTGGTGTTCAGGTGGCTATTTCGTACATTGAAGCATCAGGGACGCGACAATCGCGTCCTTCCCCGCACTCCTGTCCTTGGCACCAACCGAGAATCACCGCCGGGTACAATGTCCGTCGTTGTAATGTCTCGCGCCGGGTACAAACTAAATCGCCAAGTGCAACAAATAGAACCATATAGGAAACTGCAAGTTTTGGCAGTTTGGAAAATATCAAAAGCACTGGATCAACACCTTCACAGGTTAAGTGATCAACCGGGTTGTAATTCACGTCAGACTGTACGCAATAGCAGTCACCAACCAGAAGGATTTGTCAGATCAATGAGAAGATATCTATACCAGAAACCAAGGGACGGTACAAATATTGGTTTCGATCTATAGTGGCCTATTCCCGAGTATGTAACAATTGTTACATTCTTACACAGGTTCCATAGTACACCCGAGCTTCTCTACTTCATTGGGTATCAATTCCGTACACGTGTATAAAATGTAAAATTTGTCTGATATGATTTTTAATCTACAGCATACATTCCCTTTGATAATGACCCAAGGGTTATTTCTACCATCCACTTTGAGAAAGTAATTAACCAAAGTGGTTAAAAGGATTGTCAGGAATGGTCAGATTCGCCGATTTTTATTTTCAAAATTTTCCAATAAAGCATAGCCGCTTCGCTAAATCGCTTCAATTTAACAAATCTGATTTTCGAAATTGTAAAGCCTGCTAACAACACTAAGGATAACCGCAATACTGAAACGTTTAACTTTTTTTTTCAACCAAGATAAAATATGTTAGCTAATAAAGGCATTGGAAGTACACATCTATATTAAAGTAATATGGTAGATGTGTCTTAATTCTGGCCGGGAAATTAATCCATTTTTTTTTGCCTGCAGTCCTATTATATTTTCCGCGTGATGAAATTTACATACTAATCATAACCAGTACAACAAAACCAGTTACAATTTCCAAATATTAAATATTTAAAGAGAACTGAAGTTCCAAAACTAAAAAAAAAATGAATTTTATGACGAACGTTCTAATAAAATTAAAACTATTTAGAGAAGAAACTGTTCATCTTCTCAGTAATAAATGAATTGTTACTTTGTCCTTAGGAAAGTATTTCGAAGGTCCACAAGTTAAATATTTTTAGTAGAATAGGCTATAAAATGGAGAAATGCCCAATAAGGGAAAGGGTACAGGATTGCGGAGGCAGGGAGGAAAGGGGGTGGGGGGTATGGTCTACAAAAGCTTTGGGGGGAAGGGGGGAGGCGCAGAATTTTTTTTTTTTAACTATCAGACTGCCAAGAACATAAATTTGGAATCCGAAGAGTTGTACATTAAATACATTATAATTGTATTCCTGATTACAACAAGGCAAAGCTAAGGTGCTTGTTAGTAATGAACGTGGAGGAAGCAGAAGCGGCTAGCCCCACCGACCTGAAGCAGCAGCAGCAGCAGCAGCAGACCGCACCCTGTGCATAGCCTGCCAGAGATCAATACCTCAGTCGCGGGCGTGGGTGATACCGCCTCGCCGGCCATGACATGGTCATGTGGGTGGCTTTTTCCTCGTGTTAGTTCACGCGGCAGAATACAATACCAAATATAGCAACTGGTCATTGGTGAGGGAATACAGTGTGTGGGGGGGGAATGTAAATAGATTTTCACGAAAAGGGGAATCGAGTGGCGAGAAACCCTGAAACGCAGGCTATTCCAAGACCCTAGCGGGTAAAATAATTGTACAATAGTGGAGCACGCTAGGAGATGAACGGCCGACAGCAGAGGTCGCTCGGCTGGTTACCAGACCAATTCTCACCCCACAGCAGATGTGGCCACACTTCCACCCAAACAGCACCATTATACTTCATGAATCTGAAGAAATCTAGTAGTACTGGACGCGCACTTGGTAACTAGTCTGGAGCAAGAAAGCGGAGAATGAGCAACAATCCCTGGAAACTGGCAGGCACAAAAGACTAGAGGAAGTGTCCTCTCTACGAGCTGTTGGTTGCGAAGGTGTGACACTAAGTTTAGAAGTCACATTAGACGAATCTGCTAAATCTTACTTTTTAAGTGCTGGAAATTATTATCGACATCACTAGCGCTATATAAACTAACTGAACAAGGTTTATGAATCGGAAAAAGGTAAGGATATATTTATTAAAGGAAAGCATGTTGACAGGGGTCACAGCGCTTATTCTAGGATGAACTAGTCATACCCTCTGACCTATTCTTCACAACCCTCTGGGGGGGGGGGGGGACAGCTTCGTATCCAAGAGCCAATAACAACGAGTTATTGCACTATAGAACCCCCCCCCCCCCCCGTCCATGTTACCAGCTTTACACTTCAGGTGGAACCTAGGTTTCAAGATCCAAACACGCTCCAGGTACTGCATACCGGATGTCAGCCTGCCTGAAATATATGACAACTCCAAGCAAATGTTATTGGAAACCGCTATGATCAATCCACCTTTCGTGCACTCTAAAATATTTTAATATTTAAATAGTTGCAACAACCATCTAGTTCATCTATACGTAGGCAGGCGGGCGGGGTACCAATATTCAAGACTTGTGTTGAAAGGCATCACATCGTGAAGCAAGGATGGGCAAACCATAACGGCGGAAATGGCCATTTACTCAAAAGGGAAAAAAGGGACGGGTCATAACTGGTCCCCTGGCCTCGTTTCCCTCGATAATCCCTCCCACACACTCACTTTTCCAGGTGTGGAGTGTCTCTTGCACCTTCTTTAACAGATACTTGCAACCAAGTACTTTTAATTACTAAAACAATAACTTATTCCCTTTCACTTACT